ATGGCCTTGTAAGAGTCATTGATATGAGATTTCAACTAGGGTTGGGCGATGTCTACAAAATTGGCATCGGACGATGTCTACAGTGAAACATCGCGATGGACGATGACACTGGCGGGGACGAGTGGGGGAAGGGGTGTGGTGGTGGAGTTAGTGGGTGTGCCTGAAGCGTGAATTCTTATAAGGGAAAACATGATTCCTAACACCGTGTCTATACCGGACGCGAGCGGCGCGGTGCGACAAAATACTATAGAACCACTGATCTATAATAGAGATTCATTATATATAGATCAGTCTATAGAACTCATTATAATCAGTGATGCTGTCTACACTGGATGCGGTGCGTCGCGACACGACAAATCCCCGACAGTAAACTGCTGCCGCGTTCTGTTTATGACGTGCTGACACAAATTTCAAATGATTTTCAACGGTCGCTTTGTCGCGTCCAGTGTAGACTTTAGCTGATGCGGCGCGACACGACAACTGTCGCGTCCGGTGCAGACACGGTGTAATGGTTGCCTGTAGGGCTGAAACGATTCAGTATTCAATGTTTTATGTTTAAAATAAAATATTATTTATGCATTTGTAACTGCAGGTTAAATGCATTCATGTCCCTCTGAGCTGAATTAAATCATGTCCCTCTGTGTGGGAAATTCATCCCATGCAGCTTCTGTGTTTCCTCTGCATTGCAAAGATGAATTTTGATACTGATATCATTTGTTTGGTAACAGCCCACATGTCTTTTATTCTAATTGACTGATTAAATGTAAGAATTTTACTCAAAAGATGATGCACACTTTTAGAAAAAAAAGGTAAAAATGCCCATAAAATGTAAAAATTAATTTAAACTTATTGGAACAGATTAATTTCTATCACTGCTGTGAACTGACCAGCACACAGAATATGAAGGATAATAAAAAACAAGTTTTACACACACACACACACACACCAGTACGTATAGGGATATTTAAGAGGGTGTATTCTCCAAATAACTCTAATTTCATGTTGCAGAAAAATGTGTTTAAAAATTGTGTATGGTCTCTTGTTCTTGTTCCAAGTTACCTTCCTGTTCACTGATTTTTGCCTCACAAAAGCCACAAAGCCTTCCAAGAAGCAAATTAGTTGTTTATTTTAAGAGATCTATCTTATTATCTCTTGTATATTTAGTATTGCTCTTTAATAAAGAAAACATACTTCTTAGCCGATTAATCGATGGAATAATCGGCAGAATACTCGATTACTAAAATAATCGATAGCTACAGCCCTAGTTGCCTGTTACATTATAGTTCATACAATTTCACTTACCACATGAACAGAGTAAGGAGAGATGACTGAGGACGATGGCGAATGATTTGCAGATCCTCAGTACCACTGACAAACATATAAAATGTGTGGCAAGTACTGCCGCTCCATAGTATAAACGGAGTACGTGCGATCGCGAATCTTGAAAGTGAAAGTGAAACTAAAAGCGATTGTGTGTTGAAAAGCACAATGCCAGTTTCAATGCCAGGTATAATAGCGGCTCCCTGATGCCGAAATATATATGTAGTGTAATTACCCCATTATAGCCTGTTACATCCTACAGTACATAAAATTTCACGTACCACATAAACAGAGTAAGGAGAGATGACTGAGGACGATGGCGAATGATTTGCAGATCCTCAGTACCACTGACAAACATATAAAATGTGTGGCAAGTACTGCCGCATTTTCTTTCCGAACATGGTATTGGGATGCGGGGGGAATGGGTGGGGGGAGGGGCGGTCACGATGCCGGCTCAACATCGTGATGTCTATCAGCCATCGGCGATGGACGATGGCATCGACTATCGGCCCAACCCTAATTTCAACTAAAGTTATAATGCATGCTTGTTTTTGCGTGGAGTCAGCAAAGACAATTCAGATTGCAAGCTCGCAACTCAAAATATTATCAACTCAAACTGAAATGATAAAAATTCTAATTATAAAAATGAAATATTTTAATTCTTATTTACTTTATTAGTATTATTTATTTATTAAACGTGGGTGTTATAAAATCACTGTAAATCACAGCGCTGTGTGGCTCATACTTTTACTGTGGCATTATGGATTCAGCAGCACTGCTTTGATATTGTGTTCATGAGACTACTGCAGCTCTCTGCCCTGTGTTATTTATGCATTTTGTGTTTGAGGTTTGACTCATTCACCCTGGGTAGCTTTTCACTCTTTCTCTCTTTCACACTGTCTTAAGGTCTTCTGTACTTTTGCTCCTGCTCAAACTAGGTCTTTTGTTCCTTTTTTTCACAATGCATTGCCTAATCAGAAGAGGCAGCATGTAGGTACCCTGACACAACACACACGCCTGAAATGGCTGCATGATTCACTCTTTATTTGTCTTTTTTCTCTCTTGTACCACAGAATGATGTTGATATGAGAACATTGTGTGCTAACAACATTTTGTTTTTGACATCTTTTCTGATTTTTTTCTCATGTTGATTGAACATGCACTTGCGATATGCTTTCACTGTTTCCCATGAATATTTTTGTTTTATTTTGTTTGGTATGCATCTTCATGGAAGAATATTTCAGTAATATTTTTTTCTGTGTGATCTTGTATTTTTATTTTTTATTAACCAATATGGTTTGATATTTTGTGGTGTTTTTATTTAATTTATTGTGTTCATCAGATACGTTCTTGCACCTTTAGCTTGACTGTCAGCCCATCTTGTTCATCATTTGTTTTCATTTTTCTCTCTACCTCCTTTCTTCTCTTCCCTGCACCCTTGTCAGACTGCATGGTGTCTTGATATCAGGTGCAAAAGCATTACAGTGACAATTTAATCTATTTCCTCTTTCTATCTCTCTCAAGGGGATGTGCTTTTTCAGATGGCGGAGGTTCACAGACAGATCCAGATGCAGCTAGAGGACATGGTGAGTATCGTTAACTTGATGAAGATCGTATTGCCTCATAGGCTCACATTTTCTCATTACATTTTCTCACAACATGACTGAATCAATCAGGCTGTATCTAAGAGGCTCCATTAGCCTCCAGGGTAAGGAAGTGGAAGGGAGCGGTGTCTCAAAATGTCACATCGACTCAGATGCTTCCGTATATAAATGAAGGACAATAGACCACGGTCACATGCGTAAACACAGCACCTCAGACAAAGCACAGACTTTCCTGAGCTGTGTGACACAGCTGCAGATGTTAAACAAACTGTATCTGAGGCCTTCTGATAATGATAACAGGGCAGAAACTGGAGTAAACATCTGTTAGCGAGTACATTATGGATTAGTTGTGTTTGGTGTAACCAGATGCAGAATTCTCTTGTCATATGAGAGGAAAATTGCTTTGTGTATATAATATAAACTATATTTGTCTACTGTAATTTCCAGCTGAAATCATTCCACAATGAACTGCTCACAGAACTGGAGAAAAAAGTGGAATTGGATGTTCGCTACTTAAATGTAAGTATATAAACCTACAAAATCACAAACATTTAGGTTGTGATCACTTTCGCGATATTCTGCCAAAATTTAGTGGATGAAAAAAATCTGTTGCCTGTAAGTCAATAGTGTAGTGATGTATGAAGTGCAGTTCACACATGGTTGCACTCTATTTTATTTTAATATAAGGGAACTACATGGGTTAAGGTTAGGTTTAGGGGTAGGTTCAGGATTAGGATCTAGCTATTACCCAGTTATTGTAATCACTATAATAAGCACATAGTATGTACGTGTGAAACAGGACTGTAAAATATTACCGGTCACTTTCAAACCAAGCAGAATCTGTTGGTCAATGCAAACCAAGTTGAACCAGTTGTGAAATCAGCAAGAGGAAATCTTTCTCCCTCACATGGAGGCACAGCATGTTAAGCATTTTTCTATCACCTAACTAAGCACTGTTTCTGTTCTTTTTCTTTATTTAATTGTTTTAAAACACATACAGTCACGTCCTATAACAACTAGATTGATTCCTAATTTTACTGAATTGGCCTTATCCACCTCCAAATAATGTCTTTTAAAAGCAATAATTGAGTTTACTGCATGTAATGACAGCTAGAGTATTAGCGGCATTACACCAACATCTTCTAAAAGGCTCTTCTCGCCTGTATGAGGGGAAAGTGTTTTTTTTCCCTTTTTACTTGAGAGAAATCTTTTTACATGCATGAAAAATCAGCTGTGCATCTGAAATGAGACTTTCAGCTTCGAAGATTAAGAAGTCTTCTTCCCGGGGTCTCTAACAGGCTTGTTTGTAAATGCATTAGATTGACCCTCAGCTTCTTGGCAAGAAATCAAATCCACATTTATTCAGTCACTCATTTGCAGAATTGACGGAAATTAACTACGCTCCCATGCTTTCTGTTCCACACATAGTAAGGATTGCACATCAGGCTCAGTCAAATGTAGCAGAAGGCTTTGGCAGTGAAGGCTAGTGAAAACAAAGATGCATGGTCTGAAACACAATGAATCTGTGAAGCAGGGGGTTCTGGGAAGCACAATGAAAGACCTGATTGGGCTGACTCAGCCAAGTTCCCATTAGTAAAGAAGAACATGTGATGACCTTCATGTCTTTTAAATTCTGGGTTCAGGTCAGTTAAACATTGTTAAGAAACAGTCGAATGAACATTTATTCTAAGCTTTAAAGCTCAGGATATGTTGAGAATAAAGAAATCAAGCATACTACGAGAGAGCCCAATCTCATTGGCATTTATCCACTTGAGGTCTTTCTGGAATAGATGCTTGATCAACATTAAGTTGCTCGTCTTGTCCGTTTGGATATTGTTAGGGTTGATTGTGATGAGAGCGGTGTTATTTCATATGGCAGGCAGCTCTGAAGAAATACCAGATGGAACACAAAAATAAAGGAGAGAGTCTGGAGAAGTGCCAGGCTGAGCTGAAGAAACTGCGCAGGAAGAGTCAAGGCAGCAAGAACCCCTCCAAATATGGAGACAAGGAGATGCAGGTGAGTCAGTGCTGCTCTTCAAATTTCAACAAACGAAACTTTTTGGTGGACAAGTTATGCCAAAAATTAAAATTCTGTCACCATTTATTCAACCCTCATATCTTTCCAAACACTTACGACCACCTTTTGTGTAACACAAATGGGGATGTTTTGAAGAATATAATTGTTCACTTTTTCCCAAAGATCCATACATCTTATCTAAAGCTCTATCATATGACCTGAAATATTACAAATGAGCTGCATCAAGCACATTTATGATACTTTTTCTGGTGCATTGCATCCTTTTTGAAGCTTGAAAGCTCTAGTCTTCATTAATTATAATTGCACGGAAAAGAGTGTCTGGTCTTTCCAATGCAATTTTAAATGGCAATCTTAATATCTTCTCCTTTTTTGTTGCATGGAAGAAAGTAAAGCAGATCTGAAACAACATGAGGCTGAGTAAATGATGAGAGAATTTATTTTTGGATGAACACTTTCTCCAAAGTTCTCTCAGTGTACAGAAGACAAGTATAAATGAATTCAAGTCTTGAAAATTTTATGTCTGTGCATTCTGAGTTTGGCAGTAGATTGGGATGCTCCAGAACTTGAGCATTGAATTTGTTTGTGATGTTTGTGCAGTTTGTAACATCCAACTGAGACTTCATGCTGGGATGAAATATTGTGGGAATTCCTAAATCCGTGTTTCTATAAATAATCTCTATAAATCCCCGTTTTTCGCTTCACTGTTTGAACATACACCTTTGAACACACTTGAGAGGGAATGAGAAAATTAAACATGAGCATGAATGTTAAAACTTTATCATTGGCTACAGTGCTATTGGCTATTCACACAAAATTTACAACATATTTTTGCTTTGCTATAATTGCAGTATGATTTATAACAAAAAAGTATTTGACAGTCAAAAGACTAATTAAAAATCATTTGCAGACAACATGGTTATTCACAAGCTTTTTTCAGAGCCTATTAAAATCTTTACAAGAATTTTTCACACATTATGGATCTGCAGGGTTTATTAATGTTTTTATTATCTTATTTCTGGATAAAGGTGTATTTTTATAATCTGATATGATGTTGCTCTTTTCATGCTCCTACATTGCACTGAACACAGAAAAAATTATTCCAGTTTTAGTCTGTTTGGCTCTTTAAGTGCTAAAGAATATCCCACTCTGTTTGGCTGAAGTCCTTTCATACAATTTTGTTTTGTTCATCGAGGCCTCATTGTACGGGGGCTGATTTGTCGGGGCCGCTGTTTGTTTTGAATGTACGCCTCTCACTACTGTCGTCACCAGGAGCGAGGTCATGGGGAAGTGGGTGTGTTGTGCTGTGTGCTGACCTGGGGTCAGTTCATGCCATTAGCAGTAGGTGTGCTCCTCATAGTGGCGTAAGAACGTGCTGTTGCATAAAACGCTGTGGGCTCTGCTTGCTTGTTAAACGCACTCCACAGGTGTGTATAAAAGAAAACAGAGAAGGAAGGTGAGTGGGTTGTTTAAATTAATTACTTGAACTAACTGTTCCGGGGTCTAACAAAAACTGTAGGAGGATCAGAGTGAACCAAACAACAGAGATGATTGATTTGTTATTCTGTATCAAGGTTGGCCAAAATCCATAATTTAAGAATTTGCTTCCTTTGAGTCCATTAGTGTAAATTTGAATTAAATTGTGCTTAACAGGAAGTTGAGTTTGAGTTGAGAAATTTAAAATGGAATGACAGGAAAAGGAATTTATTGAACTGTAATTCAAAGAAATGAAGCTGCTTCATGTTGTTGCTACATTTTGAAAGCTTCAAATTACAATTAGGAAAAATATTCTGGGGTTCTTTCACCTGGTAATTAAGTGATATTGTTTTTAATTATATAAAATATAATATAGCGCTAGATTAAATTATATGCATGCTATTTATTTTCAGCAGTTATAGGCATTTCTTTGAATTTCATTTGAATTCTGCTGCCTGTTCTGTATACGCTGTTTTATGTCTTAAATCTTGGCCTTCCATAGACCTCGACAGATTCAGTGCCAAGCAGAAACAGAGGCTCAGATGCACTTGTTTTCTTGACTTATGATCAAAGGTCAAAAGTTTGATGCAGTGTGCGGCTCTGATATGGGAAGTGCATTTAGAAAACAGATGGAAATCACATTCTGATTGTTAGTTTAGCTTGTGCCTCACAGCTCTGGGTGGCACGGGGCTTCAGGAAAAGAACAAACTGATATTTGGAACTGTAAGTTAATACGTCTCTGGCCTCAGCTCATATACCCCAGACAATCCCCAGGATTTTTTTATTTATTTACTTATTTATTTATTTTTTTGAGCAGTTTACTAGTTGTGAAAGCTTAGATTTACCCCTGAGAAAACACTGTGTATGTGTAAACCCTTCCCATGGTTCCCTACATGTGGCAACTCTCTCATGAGATTTCTTAAATGTCAGATTTCTATGAATGTAATTTTTTTCTGTAATAGCTTTTGTCAATTATTTATAGCTGTGTGTATGTGTTCATTCCACTTAGCGGCTCAGTATGAACCGTGGATGAATTTTACATGTGGGGCTCATGGTCCCTGCTGTGCGTCATGCTGCGGAGAGTCTGGTTTCAGAGATGGCATGAGCAGAACACTGCAAAACTCACTACACCAAGCCGAGGACAATCTTTCGCGTGAATAGTGGTACCATATCGGTTATTGACCTATTTCATGGATAATGTTATAGAGATATTGAACATATATTGGCCAGTATTGGATATTTAATTGTACATGGTAATTTCACATATTTTTGATTTAGATAAATTGAGCTTTAGAGGAGGCAAAGATTTTCACAATTGTTAAAACATAGCATGTTTTGTTTTATATAAGAAACACTGTTGTTTCAGTTTTCTCCCTGATTACTAGAGAGAAATGCTGGTCTGTTCCAGATCCCCTGCATAACTGATGCCAATATTAATACCGTGACCAATGTAATGCAGTCGTTTCTCTGTTTTTTTCCCTGAGGAATCAATGCACAGAAATGATGGCGCATTTCAGTCGTATCCTACATTCATATTCAGCACGTGTTAAAATGAGGCCAACCGGAGGGCAGGCAGATTGATTTGAACTGGAGTGTCACTTATGATTTCAGGCTGCAGTAGTGTAGGATATGGCCCCACATTACATCATTTTTGTGTGTGTATGTGTATGTACATTAGTATTCCTCTTGGATACCAAACTAAAGGCACATAGTGCAGAAATTTCTATCTAAATATGATTTCTGAACCCATTTAGCCTTACCCCACCAGACTGAGCCATATGGCAACACACTGCAGCATACAAACACACTATTTACCAACTCTAGTGTAAACCTGTGTTTACCTGTGTGTTGCAGTGTTTACTGTTGCTTAGTTGAGTATGATCATGTCAGCTACTTCACAAGTGGTACTTAACGTCATGCTAATCATGCTGCTTGTCCATTACCTGAATCACTGGGAGATTGTAAATATAGATTTTGGGTTTTTTTGCCATGCTCCTGTATTTGTAATATCTGATGGTACAAATATAGTTTATGCAGATTAGTCATTTAAATAAATCATTGCTGAACCTCTGTTGCCTCAGGCCATATTGCAGTAAATATCTATGAAAGCTGACAGAAAAAAACATTGGTTTTCATCCAACAAGTAGGTAAAATAAAGCAAATTACTACCAGAATTTGCTACTGATTGTGCACAATGTGTAACTAGTGTAGGGTCATTTTGGTAATTGTAAGATGCAGAAATACATTATACATTTGAGTATTGCCTGTGCGACAACATATTTTTATACTCGTACCTGGCAACAGACTTGCGCTGGTTCTACGTCTGCAGCTGTGTAAGTGCACTCGCTGGACCTCAACATTTAATCTTAGCGTGTGGCTTGTACATGAACTGTACATGTAAATGTACTCTTCATGACTCAGACACTGAAAAAAATTTAATAGGAGGAGAAAAGGGGTCCTGACCATGGGTCATTAAATACAAAGAAGATCCTGCAGTATAGTGCTGTCATTATCCAGAAAGAATAAGACAGACGTCATATCTGATCCATTAGTGCACAAAACATGCAGTCTACATGCGGATGTGGGCTACGACGATGTTCAAGTTGAAAAATATTAATTTAAAAAAGATATTAAATTACTTCTGCTTACATATACAGCTTATATATAACATTCAAAAGTTATGTTATAATAATAAAAATAAATAAAAATCTTACTGACTGCAACTTTTAGTGTACAGTCTATGCTAGTTTGTCTCTAAAAAGTCATTTTAAGTTGCTTTTTAAGGGTGTTTACACTTGAGAACTGAACTCCAAAAGGAAGAGAAATGCCTTTATAATGGCTTTTTTGCCAAGTATGTAGTTTCGAATTTTGTAAGATCCTGGAAAGAACAGAGGAGAAGTGTAACCACCATGCTTTGACCTCAGTGTTTTCTTTCTTGTCACCTAGAATTTTTGCTAAGCAAATCTCAGTTCACTTTAGTTACAAGTCACAAGCAGAAGTCTTTCAAGCTTGATAAAATGATGTGGCTCACTCTTTGGGTTGCTGCTATGTGCAAAAATATTTAGCGTGCAGCTGTTTTGGTGTGCTGATCATGCTACCTGTCAGCAGTGTGTCCAAATTCCCACTCATGATCAGAGAGAATCCTGGAAATGCTACATTTTACATCTAGTGTTTTACCTACAGGTTTATTACATCTAAACTAGCTTGAGAACTCATTACCTGCTTTTAGATTTGACACTACAACATCTGTTTCAATGCTGAGGCGTTTTTAGAATCTCTTAATTTTGTTGTTTTTTCCCCTCTTTCATCTCTCACATTCTTTCCCACATGAGTTTAATGCAAAAATATTACAAACAAGTCTATCTGATGTACATTAGAGCAACTAAACCTACAAAACTGTGTGTTCTGGTGCTGGTGTCTAAGACCAGATGTGTACCAAATGAGTTTTAAACTCTGGATGAAGCATTGCTTTATTCATTTCAGTTGTGCAAGGCACAAAACCCATGAAACGCAAAGACTGAGAGTCTGAGTGAATATATTGTACACATTCATACATTACTGTGAACCCATAACACATTTTTGCATGATGCAATGACCTTTTCTAACTTGAGACTAATAATAGACTTGCAAACAGTGATTCCAGCCTTGTTCATTAACACTTGGTAGGAAGAATCAGTATAACTCACTGTGATACCACGATACCTACACAGGTTGAATAACCTTACGAAGTGTCACTGTGTGCGTGCAGTTTGGATTACATCCAGTTCCTACAAGGTGTATGTCCTTGTTAGATGATGTTTTGGCTGTGGCACAGTCTTTACAGAGGCAGTAGCCTTGGTAGCTTTTATGTTGTGATACATATTTGAGTTGGATGTTTTATCATTTTACTATTGAATGCTAAATGATGAACATGACCTTCTTTGTTACTTGGATTCTCTGATCAAAACAAACAGGCCGGTTAAATTCAGCCCTCACCAGCTTTGCATGCTATGGATCATTGAGCTTTAGCATTCCCATTTGCTTTCATACAATGAGAGTAACAGCAAGCCTACATGGTTGCCATTTGAAATGTACGGTTTCTCCTAGCATGGCCGTCACTACATCAGGCTGCGTCAAACTGGGGCATTGTTTGTCATTTTTTATGTCTGCTTTACGCCACCTTCCCTGTCCCTCAGTACGTCGAGACCATCAGCAGCAAACAAAATGAGCTGGATAACTACATCTCTGAGAGCTACAAGAACGCCCTGTCCGAAGAGAGACGGAGGTATTGCTTCCTCGTTGACCGTCAATGTGCATTGGCCAAAACAAGCAACGCCTACCACACCAAGGTGAGATTTCACATCATGCTGAATAAAGTTTGGGTCGCAGAAACACTGAAATTCAGTTAATTTAAGTAAAAATTGTGTTAAGCATGCATTTTAGCCATTATTTGCACATTTAAATGTGTTAAAGACAACATGAAATGCCATTTACAACATATTTAGCTCTCGCATTATGACATATTTAATAATTAATAAAAATTTAGTTGGATGACTTGGTCAGTTAAATTGATAAAGCCTTATGTCAAAGATAGAAGTTTTGATTACATGTTGTCTTTAACCATCAATCATGTAATGTATTAATTCAGATCATATACTATAAATAATAAGTATCCATAAATTATATACTTGGACAACTCCATACTTTGTTTTCAGTTGTTTCTGCTCCCAAGTCCCATTTAGTCAGTCATTCATTCCATTTCAGTGCTGATCATTCCGCCATGCTTGCTAGAGAATGTGCTATACTGTGTATTTTGAGAAAGTTTCTTAATTTGGGTCCAAAATGCACTGTATGTAAATGCTTGTGCTGTACAATTGTGTTTTGTACAGTATACAATGCAAAATGATTTATAACCAAGACTACATTTGATTGCTTATCAATAGAATCAAAGAGATTTAATCAAGGTGGTGCCACCAATATATAAAACACAAGGGTGAAGGATGATTATTCTTTTTAGAACATTATATTCACACTGAACAAAAATAGAGCAGAGATCTGGTGGTATCTGGTGGATTCACCAGCATGCAGAAGAAGACCAGTCATTCCCGCGTAAGCGAGATTCACTCCTCTACTGTGATGCCCACGCTTCAGAGTTGGTGATAGACAGAGCGTTGGGAGCAATGATGGCAAGAGAAGCAGAAGAAAAAGGGAGGGCCAGGCAGAGAGTGGCCCACTTTTACAAGAACAGACTGTTCAGACAATAATCACTGTTTTCATGTATGTGTGTAGGAAGATTCAAGAAGAAATTTCTCTGCAGGCAACTGCAAAAACAGTTTAGACAAAGACAAAGAGGCACTACCTCACAGTGGAAAATTAAATTGGGGTTTAGTCTATGTAGTACTACTTTATTATCCACTTTTGTGAGAACAGGAAGAGCGAAGTGACGTGAACAAAACTAACCATCTGCCAGAGTTTGTCATGGCTGGATCTTAACACCGTCACCCACAACAGTCATGGTACTTGATACTTACTCACTCACTCGTCTGCAACTGAGGGCAGAAGGAACAAAGAGAGGATAAAAACTCTCTCATGCTCAGATGACTTAAGAGATTTTACCACTGGGAAGAAAATTGAAAAGAAACCTTTTAAACACCTAATGAAATTTGCAAGTTTGAAGGGTTCACTGATTTCTCGGGAACTAATAGGCAGTTAGTAGTGGTCTCTGAATTGCATTTGTGTGATGCCCTTTCACACAAATGCAATTCAGAGACCACTGCTAACTGCCTATTAGCAAGATTTAGCATATGCTTTTATCCAAAGTAATTCATTGTGCACTTATTGCAGGGTCATTCCTCATGGATCAACTTGAGATCAAGTGCATTACTGTTTGAGGGGTTTGAACTAGAAACAAGATATTTAGGGTCTTTAATATTAGTATACATTAGTGTTTAATCAAGGATAGTAAGTCATACAGGTTTGGAACAAAATGTGAGTAAATAATGACAGAACTTTAATTTTTAGCTAAACTGTCCTTTCAAAACAATGTTAAAATCGCAAATGCTTCAGGTTGGCTTCAGTAGTTTAATAAGCTGTGGCTACTGAATCTTATGACTATACACATGATCTGTCCTGCTACTCTTGAAACTTTTGCATTAGCATAAAGTCCTGATGAAACGCAAACTGCGCTCATCTTTTATTTTTCTATTGTGACGTATATATCAGAATGAAATGGCTTCTTAAAAAAAATGTAGGGTTGGACTTGATTTTGTCCATTAGGAATCGATTGGATTGTTGTTGTTTGCAAAATCATGCGATCTCATGTGAGTGACAGGTTGCTAGAGGGGAGAGATTATTGTCCCACCCTTTGCGTCGGTGCACACATAATCAGAGAAGACATGCCTTAGCGAAGGGGAGGAGAATTTTTTGTTTTTATCACAAGGGCAGTTAATTTTATATTTAAAAAATATGTACACGGATATTTAATTTATAATAAACACTGCAATATTCATAAAAATAAGAATTGTCCATTTTAATTTCATGGTGACTAAGATTTGCCAGTTTGCACTCCTGAAGAGTGTTAGCGTTTTTGCTTTTATGAACCCGATGAGGTCGTGACGCAGTCTGCAGGTGCTCAGACAGGCAGGCAGGTGATAATTGCTTTGTGTAGGGTGGTATGTGGTTGTGACTTAGAAAATGACCGTAGGGGCTCAGTAGTACTGACCTGTGCCAGTCAAAAACAGACTATGGAGGTATTATAAGTACAGAGCAAAGGAGAGTGATGAAAAAAAGATTTTGGCATGTTACAAGGCTGTAGGCATTTAGAAGACCTTTCATCCAATGCAATGTGTAGTACATTTACCACACTTATGTTAAAGGAACTTTGCACTTAACCAAAATTTGGTGGATGCAGGTAGATTATTAGCGTAACCTTTAGTGTAAGTTTTAGGTGAACTGTTGCAACACGTCAAATTGTTGATTAACTTTTCATTTGTCACATCTCTTTGAAATGTGGCTCTTCAGTCTTTTAAATAAGCATCCATGTACTGCTCAAACAGATGATCTGAATTACAGAAAAGAGTCCAAAGATAAAGTTGCACTTCCTGTGCTCTACATTCAGAGGTCTCCAGGCGTTCCTCATCTCTCTTACTGGTCGTAGAGCTCAGCCAGGCTCACTGCCTGTGCATAGGGCAGTGTAATGAGGCAATTTCAGGCTTCAACCTACAGGGAGGGGAGGTTGTCAGGATAGAGAGGGATGTCTCAGAGCTTCAGAGGAACACGAGGTGAGGAGGGATCACTTTATCACACTTTATCGCATTCCCTCTCCCTATCAGTTCATCAACTGAAGAGCTCACCCCTGAAACCTCAGCTATATATTCACAGAGAGAGTCTGTATTTGGTCTGTTATCCTTGATTTGCCAACATGGGTTTTCTAGACTAATCTAAATTATTCTCTCGCAGTTGTGTAAAGCTTGCATCACTTATGCTAGGTGCTAATACTAGTTGTGGCGCTGTTTGTTTGTTTTTAGGGCAGAGACTTGCTGACACAAAAGATCCCATTGTGGCAACAAGCGTGTGCCGATCCAAATAAACTCCCAGAGCGGGCAATGCTTCTAGCTCAGCAAATGGGCTCAGGAGCGTCAGGGACACTGGGACCCAGTGTCCACCACACCTCTAAATCTAGCCTGACCATCTCAGACCCCATCCCTGGGGCCAAGCCACTTCCTGTGCCACCTGAGCTCGCAGCTCTCATGGGGAACCAACAGACGGTGAGTTAGAATCCCAGTCCGACCCAAATAAAAAAAAATGTGAGCCACAAAATAATGCAGTGTCTTAACTGCAGCAAGATAATTTGTAAATGGTTGCATTAATGATGAGTATAATTACATCCTGGGGGGTTTTGTAGAGTAGGGGGTGCACTAACGGCCATAGGAATGAGAGAGTTCTCAAATTTAGTATAGATGGATATAAAGTCATTAAAATACAGTTCCATAATGACCACAATGCTGTGAAAAGAATAATCAGAAACCTGCTGGCACTTACAGCTCTCTTTAGTTTACAGTTTATCACAGTGCAGTAACAATTATTATGCATTTCAAAGAATATTAGTTCACACCACAACCTAATTATAACAGCACAGAGGAACGATATTATTGGAATCGCTTTCAAAATATTTTTTTCCAGCTAATAATAAACGATAAAAATATTGACAGCCAATGAGAATCCATTCTGTTTTAAAGAGCTTGAGCATTTAAAGTGGCAGATGGCATAACTGCAAGTTTTCTCTGTCATTGTGTTTGCAACTGCATAGGACCAAATCTCTGATTTACATGGGAGAGATTGTACTATATCAAGTCACAAATGGTTAAAACTGTGTACAAGACATGGGTTTAAAAAAAAGCTGCATCTTATAAGGAAGGACATTCATTTAAATCTCATTCGGGAGTAGTGCGACTAATGCTTGATGGTATTTTTTATTTCACTTGTCTCAAAAGTATACATGTATACTATACAAGTATAAATGGAAACTAGGTGTCTTAATTGTTCCTAAAAATGTGAATTGCACCTTGCAGAGGATGATGGGAGTAGATGGTGTTCCCATGGTGAATGGCTCAGGGGTTCATGGGGGAGAAGACTACCAACGCTGGATGGAGACCAGAGCCGCACACGAGAAACCGGCCCACAGACACGGTGGAGAGACCTTCTCCAACACCCTGCCTGTCCGCAAGGTTGCGCCTGTAAAGCCCAAGAATACTTTGGGTAAGTTAAGGGACTTACCTTCGACAATGCAAACAGTAACTCTCTGATCATGACATCTGGAAGATTTCAGTGCTGTTTATTCAATACCCAGAATCTCTATATGACTTAATAATCCGCCGTCTGTATTTATAGCTGTGTCAGTGTCTGTGCACCTGTGCGTTTCTCTCTCACTCTCTCCTTGAGAAAGTAGTGAGTATTCCTCTAGTGAGTGGACAATAACAGGCCAAACACTGCTGGAAATGAAAACAGGGCAGAGCAGGTGGGAATAGAGAGGACAGCTTTAAAAATGGATAGAAAATAGGTGAAGGGTATAGTTTCTCTTTGAGGGAAGTATTTTTAAGGAGCGGAAATGAAGTTCTTAATGCGCGGCGTTCACGACCTTTAGGTGGAATTTTAAAAATTTTCCTAAACCTACTGAGCTGACTTGTTGCCTACTTAGGCAGCAATGGAATCTTGTAAGTCCTAAACGGATTCCAATAGTTTCAAACATTCTAAATGCAAAAATACAACAAATATATACATAAATATTAGGTCAAATATTCAATTTTTAATCTATTGGATTGTACGATACGTTTTGAATGAAATGTACGTAATTTTTCTGTCATTTTTCTTCTTGCATAGTTATAAAAAATTGCTCACTATGGTTTTCTAATCTCTGACCCCAGCAGAGACACAGACCCTCCCCAGGTCTAGCTCAATGGCAGCTGGGCTGGAGAGAAATGGACGGACACGCGTTCAGGCCCTCTTCTCTCATGCCGCCGGGGACAACAGCACACTCCTCAGCTTTATGGAAGGAGACATCATTACACTGTTGGTGCCTGAAGCCCGGGACGGCTGGCACTACGGCGAAAACGAGAAAAACAGAATGTACGTGTCTAGTGGTTAACTTCACAATACAATTTGCTCATGCATACAGAAAAACAAGCACATTTTTAATTTAAGAATTTGATGAACCAGAGAAACTGCTTCAAATTCCACGTTGTATGTGTCCTATCAGGAGAGGCTGGTTCCCGTTCTCCTATACCCGCGTGATTCCTGAACCAGACAGCAATAAACTCCACGTCAGGTGAGTCTGTTTAAATATTAATGCATTTACAAAAGCCCTATCAATGTTTAAATGCCATTTAATATTGTGCTGGCACAACCTATGAAATGCATTTAGAGAACTACGTCATGAGCTGCATAACACCATCAAGCATGCAATTGAGAAAGGTTTTACTCTTGACATGACCAATCAAACCTGACCTTGTTTACTTTATTCATGCACATGCATAGTCTTGTTGTGATTGATTCATCAGTGCATGTTATTCCAAAGAGAACAGCCTTCGTAACCTTTAATTCAAAATAAAATGCCTTGCTCTTCCTCTGATACGATTTTCCTTTTTTACTAATGTCACTTGGATGATGTTAATATTGTCATAATGCTATAATTAGCTATTTAGGTCAAATTTTAGCAATTGTGCATTACGTTTGGCTCTATTCTAGTACACAACGCCCACTTTCTTGATCCAGTCATTCCCAATGGATAAAATAAAGTCCTACATTTTTCACGTTACAGAAATGAAATCACGTTAACTAATAGTGTGTATATGTGTGTGTTTGTAGTTTGCAGCATAGCAGGAGCAGCAGCACGGGAAATCTTCTGGAGAGAGAGATGGCGTTGCCGACACCTGATTACGGCATGCCCACACGCTTCCTCACCCAGCAGCAGAGCACACCACACAGCCGACAGAGACCATACAGCATGGCAGTGCCAGGATTCTCACAAGTAGGCTATGCACACACACACATCCTGCCTATTCTTAATGCAGTGTCATTCTACATCCAATACAAAATGATTAACCTTGATAGATGTATGGAGTTATCAGTATAGCTTTCTATAAAAATTTTAATAGTACTGAAGCATTAATCACCTTATGTAGACATTTATCAGACATGCTGAAATATAGCGGGGCGACAGTTCGATTAATGCAGCCCAATCTCCAGCTAACCGCATAGAGGACGTTCCGGGACATTACCCTAAACCGAGATCAGTTTCCACCTGTGACCATGTGTTATTTTAACAGCCTGAGCCCCCATTAGAATAGACCTGCCCTGTTTGATTAAACTTCCCTTTGAGAGGCCATTTTGGACATTTACAAATAGATGGGTTTGGAGTGGGAACAAAGAGAAACGACTACAGTGAGAGAGCGGGTATTTGTCTGTGGAGGTCTTCACTTTAAATTAAATGCATTTTTATACAGGTACAGATACATACAGCAGCCTTAGAACATTTAAGCTATTTTTCAAATGTATTCGTTTCAATATTTCAACCTGGATTTCACCAGGAAAATAGCTATAGAAGCTGGCATGGCGTTACAAACAAACAAAATCTAGTGTTTGTCTTTGGCATTTAAAACCATCATTTATTTTTGAGAATGGTTTGAATGAAAAACATGTTTGTGTACTACACTTCACTGAAATAATTATACTTGCAATGGCTTGCAATGACTTAAATATGTATGAATAAGCATGCAAATACTTTTTTAGTATTAAAAGAAGTAGGGCTTTGTTATGTAACAAAGCCAGCAACAAACATCTCATCTCAACTCTCATCATTACCCCCGGGTCCCCTCCTTAGTGCATTCAATATGAATTAAGTTTTGCTTGGGGAAAAAAAGGACATGTATGTCTGTTGTGTTTCTCTGTTCTCCCAGAGTCAGTGCTCAATTGGTTCCGGTTCAGGATGCACTCAATGACCTCCTTTTTTATTCCTGGTTACAGCAAAATGCTGTAACTATCGTCAATACTGCAGTTCATAAGTGTTATGCATTCTTCTACTGCCGTCTACTGGGCATTTGAGGAAAAGTAGATGACTAAAAGATGTTCTCTTTTTCTTCACAGCAAGGGTTGGAGGAGTACGAGTCTCGATTCCAAACGAGGTAAGACCTAAATTTTTACTTACTCACATGCCAACTGAACAGAAACAGTATTTAAAAAAAGCATATTAGTTTGTCTGTAAGTTCTTTCTTTGTTTTCTTTTTATTTAACTTATTCTTCTCTGGTTTTGTTTGAATTTAAAAATCCCACATATTTTGAATTTTGATTATGGCAAGCAAAAAAAGTCTTGTTTGCTTGACCTGCAGCCGGAACAGACGAACATAGCTGACGTTTCTGAAGGTCTAGCCCAAACATAAGGTGGGCGGGTGACCAAACGGCACCTAAACCCATATTGAACAAGGCAGAAACCTCTGATTGTTTAAATGGGTTTCATAAACCTCGCAGTAATATACTGTAGTTAGTCGTTTTTGGTCTTTTCCCATAGGTGAGAGCCATACCTACTCTCTTGAACATGGTGTAGCCATACTTTATCAATTTGAATGAACCTTTTTTTTTTGTATTGTACAAAGCACCTTGTGTGACATCACTATAATAAATAAATAAATAAACCCTTCTGGGTCATCTATGGGGAAGACCATTCCCAGCTTTTATTGCAAATTCCTTTAGCATCACAATTTAAAGTAGATATAGATTAAATATTTTAAAATATTTTATTTTTCCATTTAAGTTACCATTCCATTCTTGCTTTTGCTGTCCATGTGTGTTTGTCTTAAAGGGGTGGTTCATTGCGATTTCACTTTTTTAACGTTAGTTAGTGTGTAATGTTGCTGTTTGAGCATAAACAATATCTGCAAAGTTACTAAGCTGAAAGTTCAATGCAAACGGAGATATCGTCTTTTAAAATTCTGGCAGTTTAATGCCTACAAAAACGGCTGGTAGGGACTACAACGAGTTACTTCCCGGGTTCGTGACGTAACAAACCCAGATAAACCCCGCCCTCGGGAAAAGGCAGCAAAGGGAAGCTTTAGAGAAGAGGAAGACAAAACTAGCGGTGCACGTAAAAATCTGTTCATATATGAATCACAATTCTGTCTTCTAACGATTCTAATGGATTCACAGGTTTCAAAATCAATGTTCTAAAGCAGCGGTTTTCAATACAGCTTTAATCAGGATAAAACCATATATTAAAAGCTAACATAAGCAGTAGCATTTACAAATAATTAGACGCACACTAAGCGGTTTAGCCAATCACAACACACTGGGCTAGCTAACCAATCAGAGCCCATCGCCTATTTCTGAGGGTGAGGCTTCATAAAAACAGGAAAAGATCAGCCCGTTTCTCAGAGAAGGGACAGAGCAGTGTGGAATAAAGGTAAATTATATAAAAATAATACCTTTTTTTTTTAAACAAAGCATTAACACATGTTAGACTGCACCCCATAAACACAATCAAGCCTAGAAAAAACCCAGTGAACCACCCCTTTAATTAGTCTTTTAGTGTCTTTTGTTCCAATTTTAATTTCTGTAGGGAAATTCATGAGAAGCAGTGTTCCACATGCTACCCCCAATATTTTCAATACTTGTAGTTCACTTTATACCTTGCTGTACACCATTTAGATTTGACCCCCATGATGCATTTAGAACAATGGGCTCCATTTTCACAATACATGTGTGTGGTTTGGTTTAAGCTTTTTCTGATATCTGATTAGAACACATTTGAATTGTTTACATTTTACTTCTGAACCACACACACACGTGACTTGTAGGAAATGCAGCTCATCACTTGTTTGTAACGTCCATTAATAGAGATTAGTATTAGCAGTAACATTAAAGGGATAGTTCACTCAAAAAAAAAAAAAAAAAAAAAAATCATGCATGTGTGTGCATTTATATGTACATAATAAATATACACAGACTTAACACACATATGTATTATGTAAACAAAAACTTTTTTTGACAGCACTAATATATATATATGTATCAAAGTACCATAGTTTTACCATCACTGTACCGTGGTATCGGCGCAGTATGAAATGAAGTTTGGAAGCAAGTTTATGTGACGGAGCGATGCGTGTTCAGACGGATGCTGCTGCATTTATAGACTTCATTAAGACATTGTAAACTTCTCCTCTCTTAATCCGCTTGTTTTCAGAGCAGATTTTACATGCTCGGGGCTTTTAACATTCACACCATCGAGCGCTCCGGCGTGCCAGAGCTCAGAAAATAAATCCATAAAAGCCCCAATCAAGCCGTTTGCGTGTGAGACGACACTTAAAACCAGATTGCGGCGGGTTCGTCATCGAGCGAGGCGCATAAAATCTGTTCAGAAACGTCTGACCACACAACCAGCAGAACTGGACCTTGTTTGTGAACCCCATTAATAACTTGCATTGTTTTTTTTCCTTGGGATGTAATGATATCAAAATATCATGGTACGATAATATCTCGATATGACGTCTACGGTACAATATTTTTTGCAATATTAAAAAAAAAAAAAAAAAAAAAAAAAAAAGATCTTTTACTCACCCTCATGTCATTACAAAGGACATTGTTCCTTCCTTGGACCACAAAAAAGGTTAAAAAAACTAAATTTCCTATATTCATAAATCTCATGAACCCTATTAAATGAATCTGACTGATCTGGTTCTTGAGTTCAACTCTGAAGGGAAAGGTTACCAGTGCACAGCATAAATTTCCATCTGTTTCTCACCCAAACTTGACGTAATTGGATCCAGAACACTTGCAGTATAGTGCACAAGTCGTATGGACTAATTTGCCCGTTAAGCTGCAGTCCTCGTTCAATGAACCTGGGAAAAAAAGAGAGCACCAGTACATTGGTGTTCCACATAAAGAAAGTCACACAGGTTTGGAACGTATAAGTAGATGATGACCATTTTCATTTATGGGTGAACTATTCCTTGAACATCAGTGCTTTATGCTCTTTGTGCTTCAATGTGTCTGTGTCCAAAGCCAACCTGGCAGCATCTCCCTCTCTTTGTTCCACAGTGCGGAGGGCAAATTGATTTCGACAGTGTGAGAGGACAGACAAACACACAGACACCACCTTCACCTCCGTCCACACACACTCCCGTCTTCCTTTATCTCTCAACAATCCATCCCCCTTCACTCCACCCTCAGAGGAAGAGGATCTAGATCCAACCTTCCCACCTTCTAGTTCACTTATTTTATCCCAGTCAGAAGCAGCCTAACGGAACCGGAATGCTGAGTATTCCATGCTGACCTTCCTCATTATACGCTCCTAACATGAGAATGTTGAACTTACTTTAGTAAACATGTTGAATTGTCTATCTCTTGCCTGTCTTTCATGCATGTACATGTCAACAATGTATAAATGCATAACTTTTGCCATCCAGGGGTCCACGGATTTAAAGGAATAGTTTACATGAAAATGAAAATTCTGTTGTTTACATGATTTTATTATATTATTTTCTTCTATGGAACACAAAAAGACTTATTTATGAGATCGAAGAAGTGTTTTCTTTCCTTGCAATGAAAGTGAATGGTGACCAGATTTTCTCTGAACAAAATGCTTTTTGTTTTGTTTTTTTTGGGGTCATTTTGGAGTTTGACAGCAACTGGACCCCATTCACTTTCACTTGAGGGAAGAGAACAGCTCAGAAATCTAAATTTCTTGTTTTGTTTTGTTTTGTTTGTTTCTGTGGAAAATAGAAAAGTTGTATAGGTTTGGAGCAACACGAAGGCGAGTAAATACATTTTTTTTTTGTTGAACAAAAAATCTTAAATGAAAACCAATGTGGTAATATGATTAAATTTATTGTTTGTAACAATACCGGTGGGTTTATCAAAGTATAAATGACTGTTAATAATGAAACTCAGCTGATAAAGACCGTATTCTGTACATTGGTAAGTTTGCATATTTAAAAAAATATATATATATTCAGGTGTTTTTTTAATGATTCCTTTTACATTGTACAATTGAATGAAACTGATGTAATTAATTAACCACAACTTTCAGTGTTTTTCCATTTCATTGTTTATATCGCTGATGTAAAGGGTCTCTGTGATCTCATAATATCTCACCTGGAGTCCCTACAATGAAGTATCTGTTTTCTAAATGCATCAAGTGTTGTAGATCAGGACGGTGAATTCTGATGTGCAGTACACACTTGACCTTCCCTGGGTCTCAAGTGAAGATTGCGTTTGAAAGCCTAGAAGTTGAATTGGAACAAATTCTTTAAATATAAATGACAAAAATGGGTTGTTTCTGGAGTTCATGGTCCATGCATGAAAGAAAAGACAACTGGTACCTACATATCCATGTCTCATCACCATCCACGAGTGAAGCAACAAGCAGTGAGAAGCTGTGTGTTAGTGATTTCACCACACATGAGAGGTGTATCCCTCTTAACCATGGTACAGTAAATCACTGTAACACATGGTAACGAGCGGCTCATTGCTTGTATGAATATAAGCAGAAAGGAATGAACAATATAGTTTTAGTCTAGGCCAGTTACGGTTGCCAAGAGACATCTCAGATTTATTAATGTAGAATGTTTAGCTCATCCAATCAGATTTTAGAATCGGAAATATCCACTGATGTTTGTGTTGCGGTTGTTTCAGCGATACATCCATATTAATGATGTGCCGAGTCTTAATATTAATATAATCCATGTGATCCAGTGCCTTGTACATAGCACACAATATTTGTAAATACTATAACTGATAATCGAATGTTAAATTGTAAACAGGAGTATTTCTGATTTTTTTCTTTGACATGGATGCATTGTTTAATTTGGTTCAACAAGATCCCTGCGGATCCCTGTACAGCTTTTAGATTAGAAACATACGTAAAAACAGCAATAATCTAATTTGATACCATACTTTTTGGTTTAGTATCAATTTAAATATGATAATTTATGCTTATAATACACTTACACACCACTTGTGTGAGTTTTTTAGCCTTTTTCACAGGAGTGAAAGCTGAAGTCTTTTAGTTCCAGTGTTGTAATGTAATCAAGGAACTGATTAAATGCTTTGAAATAGCCTTTTTCATCGAAACAAAATGCTTATGATTAAGCTATAAAAGAGACAGTTTCTCTGATGTGATAGAAACACCGCATTGCTTGTCTGGTCTAGTAATTGTTTAAAGGTGCACTGCTCTATTTTCTCTGTATTGTGCTTGAATAGTCGATTTATCGTTGTACATGAAGGTGATGCACAATTAAATAAAAAGCACCTTCATTATTACCACAAAGTATGCGTGGAGACGTCCAGATTGTACACTTGCTTTCACTTTTCTCATGTTTTCCTGCACCAAAGATCCTGCCAGTTTCTTTGTGTCTGTCTGTCTCTCCTCCGGCTATAGTTTTTTTTGCTTTTGCACTTTGTCATTTTCTGTGTAACTAAACCAACTTCTTGCTGTAGCTCTGCCAACACGCTCCATCTCTGTTTTGATGAATTTAGAGACAAAAGCAGTAAGGTGTCAAGGACTGGAAGCCAGTGCCAGTGTTTCTTCTTTCTGCACTAGAGTAAAGACCATGGTACAGCCGCCACGCTCAGAGAGAGCTCCACCTCTGTCATGATATTTATGTCGTTTTCTTCTGGAATGCCCATTTTTGGATGTAAAAGGAGAGAAAGTACAATAATTGTACAGCAAAGTATATACACTCCAATATGCATGTACTTTGGGCGACATCAGAACAGTGTAATGTTGCTAAATGACCATGTGACTTTCTACTCTTGAAAAGATGAATAAACATTTCTTCAGATTAAAGCGGTGTAGTCATTTCTTATCTTGAATTTTGTGACTTTATGGTTATTGCCATGAATAGAATATGAGATTGTCGACAATTGAATTCATTTGTCTCTAAATTGATCTGTAATTGTGTAATATCTGTGCAGTTTTTGTGCTTGTCATAATGCTCAGATTGATCACTGCAGACACTATCAATCTGAAATGTAATACTGTTATTACATTCTTCATTTAGAACGCAGCTTTTACTGTGCTGCTCATTTTACTCTTATTAAACATGGTCAGGTTTTGAATTATACGTCAATGAAATGTTCAGAATAACATACTAACATACTACTGTTCCCACATTATATTTAATGTACATGGGCACAAAATTAGGGAGAGGAATTGTAAAACAATTTCATGAATCCGGTTTCGTATTTCTTTTAGTACTTTTTAAAGAATAAATACTGCCTAATGATGAATTAAATTCAATAATAAATATTTACAAATTCTTGCAAAATGGTAGATTTATTATGACTTTTTACAGTGTAGTCAGTGCTATTTTATAACTGGCCATTTTTAACAACACTAACATTACAAAACACATCTAACAAATGTATTTGATCCCATAATTTGAAGCATTTTTGAAACTATCAGATGTCATAATTTTGACAGTCTGCTGAACTGATGTTCAGTTCACTGTAAAAAGTTGCTCTCCTTTGGTGTGTCCTTCTGAAGTTGATGATCTTGTACCGTTTTGTACCATTTTCTGTGAAAGTGGCTACTGATTTTTTTCTTTTTAAATTCATATAACCATTTACAGTATAGTTTCTTACATTAAATAAGGCAAATAGCCAAATTCCAGGCCTGTTCTAATTTTTTCAGTGTGGTTCCTGAATTTGAACGCTTTTGAGTGAGTAAACTATGCAGTTTTATCTCCATGATCATGTATAATTTTAATGTATAGGGAAAAAAAACTGAAAGAAAATCGCATGCTTCTGACATAATTGAATATCTTAATTTCAGTATAATTTTTTTAGTAGTAATATTTTTTTAAGCAAAGAGTAGTTTGTTAGTTTTAAATATATAACAATATGGTATAAAATGTATTGTGATACTTCATGGTTGTACAATTATTCAGTCATTAGTTTTCAAAATGCTTTTTGGGTCTCTGTATATTACGTCAGACTTATAACTAGGCCTGATTTTACTTCAGTTTCAGGTTCTTTCCTCCTCAGTCTGTGACAAAGATCCAGCTTTCTAAAGAATTCAATTTACATGCACAATTTCATATATGAATGCAGAATATGATGTGATCATTTCCTGACATGACTCAATATAGTGACTCTGAAATGAATCTTTTGAGCAGCCATGTGTGTGTAATGACGCAGGGAAGAGACTGAAGTTGAATTACAATCAGCACGACTGATTTTAAAGCATGAATAATCTCAAATTTTCATTTCCTTCCATTTTTATTCCCTCAAAAGTTAGGCTTCAAACCTCCTTTTTTAAATTCATGCTGCATGTTATATTGCCCAAGATTTTTGGTAATAACTTTTAAGCATGCATAAAAAGAATAGCACGTCTGTCCGTTATATAATGTTATGGTTTGTATTTTTATTTTTTAGAGTGAGGGATCCTCTCCAATTCACCACATTTGCGCTCACATCTCGCCAAAGACAAAGCAATTCCAACAGCAAGCAGAAACCCAAAGTCATTATAACTGAAGACCTTGGATCTCGACTCCCTTATTAGGACATCAATGTTTCAAACACATTTTTGCATGTCACATGGACTAGAGCTACTGTACAGAACCTTCTTACAGCAAATTACCCACAATCCTCAGTCAAAGCAACAGAAGGCGATGCTCTGAGCTTCTGATCATTCAAGTATTGCCATTGCTACTAGTTGATGAACCATTTTAAGCTTGATTTGTTTTTTGTATATATGAAAATATACAAATGTAAAAACATTTAGTAAGACCTTTTTACTTTTAGAAGACCTCAAGAATGTCTGTTTGGTCCATTGAGGGAAAACTACTCAAATGACCAAATATAAGCATGATTATTTTCTTTGATGTGTTTTTGTCTCATTCAACACATATATGTAAGGTTCTGTAGAAATCTGCTGCCCTCCTGCTACCATACATTTGTTTAGGGTCTGCTGCACTTTGAATCAAGGTTCAGCCTCCAAAAAAAGAGAGAATCAACTTGTTTTGAATTTATATTTGAACAGAAATGCACCTCTTCGCTTGATATAAACACATTTTATATGATATATTAAGTACTAAGATTGTAGATCTTACTGTAGAGATTGTAATTTCATATCACTATCATGATTCTGGTGCTTGTTCATGTCAAACGCAAAAGGTGCCATTTTTTTTGGTTAGTAATGACTTAAATGCGACGTAAACCATATGGCTTCCGAAGACCTATACAACAGCCCTACTTTTTCTCCTTTTGGAGTATTTATTTTAAGGTAAAAGAAAGGTTTGCAAAGTCTGCTAAATGTTTTACTTTTGTATTCCACAGAACAAGAAAAACATCAAGCATCATGAACATATTTAACTTACGAAGAGGTGATTCATTAAAGTGTGATTCAGTGTGATTCATTAATGAAATTTCTAAATTTGTTAACACATTGTATTCTGCACTTTTAGTAGCAAACAGACAAGATTGGCAGCCTTTCCTAAACGGTAATAGTGAGCATATTCTTTTAGCCACATTTCCAATGTAGCAAACAAGATATCACTTATTGATATCATTTTTGCAGATACCAAAACTTCAAGATCTCTTAAAAAGGGTCAAGAGGATGTCTTAAAGCCATTCTCCTCTCTTTTGTATCTCAATTAAACTGTCGATTACAAAGATGGCTCTTCAAACACAGCCTCCTCCCTAATCTTTTTTTTTCAACACAAATCCACTCCGTATTCATACTTTCTTAATAACCACCCTCATGCCTTCAACATTGCCACACAAACCACTTCACTCTCACTTATTCTCTCATTAATTCTTCTATATGCGTGCCACAAACTGAGGATTTTAAAGCCTTTCAGTAACACGTATCACCTGTGTTCACTCATTAGCCCAATCCACATCAATTAGTTAATTAGTGGGTTGTATGAACCAAACAGCACCAGAAAACTGAGAAAGAAAAAGTTTTCCAGAGTAACTTCCAAATGAAAATATGT